TTTTTAAAAAGATTTTTTTTTTTTAAATTTATTTGACAGAGGGTGAGAGAGCACAAGAAGGGGGAGCAGCAGAGGGAGAGGGAGAAGTGCAGGGCTGGATCCCAGGACTCTGGAATCATGACCTGAGCCAAAGGCAGACACCTAACTGACTGAGCCACCCAGGCTCCCCTCAGGTGTTATTTTCTTAAATATCATCTCTTCTCCCTTTTCTGCTCTTTGTTCTGTCTGGCATTTACATTTGATATATGTTCAACCTTCTTGATCTATTTTCAGTGGCTCTTAACTACAACTTCTTAGTTTCTCTGTCCTACATTCGCAGAAGTTTCCTCAAATCTGTCTTCTGATTTATGGATTCTTTCTTCATGTTTGTCTTAACTATTCATTGAGTTTTGTTTTTTTTTTTTTAGATTTATTTATTTATTTGAGAGAGAGAGAGAGTGGGAGGAGGAGCAAAGGGAGAGAATCTTCAAGCAGACATCCCCCTGAGCATGGAACCTGACTCAGGGCTCCATCCCATAACCTATGAGACCATGACATGAGCCAAAACCGAGAGTTGGATGCCTAACGGATTGAGCCACCCAGACACCACACCTTGTTCATTGAATTTTTAATTTCAGTGACTATGTTTTTCATTTACAGAGACTCAATTTTGTTTTTTTTTTTTCCAAGTTTTGGGGTTTTTTTTTTTTTTGGTCTTTTTTTCATTATAGTTTCTGTGCCTTTGTTTATATCTTCAGTCATGTTATAGTTATTTCATGGTCCCTTGCAGAGTGTTCTTTTTTATCAGTTCTCAGAGTGCTGATTCTTCCCTCTGCTATATCTGTTGATTCATCCCATGGTAGCATATTCTTTCATGGACCTTGTAATTTTTAACTATGGACTTTTCTTTAATTTTTTCCCCTTCCTTGGAGATGTGATAGTGTTTCAATGGAGTGAGTTACACTACATTTTTCCTGCTGGGGTTCTAGAGGTTTCAAATATCCTGGCTTAATTTTTTTTAAAAATTTGACTTCTCAATTAGGATTCCTGGGTCAAGCAAGGAGTATACATTTAGATCCCCTACACACATTTATCTCAGGCCTGGAGTTTCCATTTCTCAAAGGTGTTTTTCTCCCATCCAAGTTTCTAGACATACTATATGTCATTTTGGGATGCAACCAAGACTGGCTATAGCAACCTAACATGGAAGGTTTTATTTTTCTAACACAACAGGAAGGTTGGAAGTAGGAGAACTGCCTGCAGCCATGTCTTTTTCCTCAAGCTCCCTGTATCTTCCTGCCCCTTCATCCTCAAGTAGTTTTTATATTTCTGCTTGTTTCTTGGTGGCAGGTTGGCTATTCCATTTCAAGCCTCACAAGCTATGGTCCAGGTGGGACAAGGGAGAAGAAACAAGGAGGAAGGGATGGCCCCTGGGTCTGGAAAAACAAACTTTTCCCAGAAATCCCTTGACCGCCACTGCTTAGGTTGTATTGGCTGGACCTGTATCACATGATCGCCCCCAGCTGCAAAGGACGTGGACTGCGTAGCTTGTGCTTAACACCTTGCCCTTGATGTTTCTCTTCATTTGTGTCACTTGGAGATTTCCTTCCCCCTCTTCTCCAACTTGGCTGCTAAAACACATTTTCATTAGTTTTAAGTCGAGAATTTGTATGCACTTGCTTAGGCTGTTGTGTTGTCTAAAGAGTCATTCATTTCTCTCCAGGTTGTAAGAGTCATTCATTCATTCACTGAACAGATACTGAGTACCTGAAATGGGAGAACCGATTTGACTTTGGTGGGGCCACTAAAACTGTACCCACTTTTCCCCTCTGAGTCCATTTGGAAGTTCAGATAACATAGGCTCTGCTCTATATCTCCCGCCTCAAATATCCACACTGGGGGTCCTTCCCAGAGAAACATTGCACTTGGTTTAGAAAGCAATTCTGAGACCTGTAGCTGGGGACACAATGCTCAAAATACACAGAAGAGGGAGGGGGCAAACTGGCTCCACTATTTTTTCGCCTTTAATTAGTTACCCTGATTATTTGCTCCGCTGTCCATGTAAGCTCTCCATACCTGCTGAGCTCAGAGTCTTCCTGGGAAGAATGGCTGCCATCTCCATAGCAGCCCTCACTGGTGCTGGTTTCAATTTGTGGTCTCTGGCTTATCCATCAATAGGAGTCCATCTGCTTTCTTGTCTTTCATGAATTTGTAAAATTTTTTAATTGGCCGTTGGCACCTTTCCTTGTTTAAGGATTATTATGGAAGCCTTAGTTTCTGTGTATCATCCATTTCAATGGGATTTGGGGAAGTAGGCTAAGTAAATGTTTATATGTAACTTGCAACCTTGAACCAGAAGCTCCAGATATGTGGCCATGTATCCTATTTGCACAGGAGTAAGCTTGGCACTAGGAAAGACAAGAGAATACAGTGCGATATCTAATTCTTCGTACCAGCGGTATGTGGCAGCCAGCTTGCACCAACTTGCAAGACCAATTGTTAAAGTTTTAGCAATTTTACGGATTGGTTGGCTTTGTTTCGATATCTTGAAATTGATCACCGTAGGAATATTTATACCGCTGAAGTCAGCAAACACCATGAATGAACACTATGAACCAGCTCCCTCTCCTCCTCGAGAGCTGGTTGTTAAACATTTATCAGCACACCACTAGTCTTTACTCTTGGGCAGCTTGAGATAAGACATATGCTGGGGAAAAAGTAAGTCTAACTAAGATAGCCATCGAGTGTGAAACCGAGTAGTACAGACACTTCACCTGCTAAGGAATTCGGATAGCACAAATCATAGATAGCTGACTGTCATAGCTGAGAAAGCTCAGCAACATAGCAGTGCTACGCATGGAACGTTGCTGCTCTTGGCAAGGTCAGAGGGTGGGCCCAGAAGCTAGAGTTTGCATTCTAGCTCTTTCATGGACTGCTGTGTGACCTGGGAGAGTTACTACATCTCTGCAGTGGGCATAATGACGGTCAACATTTATTGAATTCTTATTACGGGTAGGCGCTGTGCTAGGGGGCTTTCCATAGGTGGACTGAATCCTTACTTTGATTATCTTCAAAATGTTGCCCGCCTCAAAGGGCTATTCTGAGTATTCAGTGAGATCATTCATGTGAAGAGGGTGACATCATAAAATCTCTAGAGAATTAGTTTTTTGTTAGCAAATTTCTCATAGAAGGTAAGCGATTTCTGCTTACCTTTTTTTCCTACAGGGTCTTGAAGGATGGCTGAGAGTAGGTTCTGTGAAGAGACTAGCAGAGGGCATTTCAGCCAAAGGAGAGGCAGGTACCAGAGCATAGAAGAAAGGCGAGTAGGAGTCTGGGAGCTGGTTCTGATAGAGCCTAAGGGAAGTGGAGGTTGTACTTTGAGGAGGAGTTGAAACACTTGAATGAGTCAAATAGAGATAGATTGTGGCAAGTGTTGTGTTCTAAGTAGAGAACTCTATTTTTCATGTGGTGGGAAGTAGGGAGCCATTATAAGTTCTTGAAAGGGCAGAGAAATGATTAAAACAGGATTTTAGGAATAGGATTCTGTCAGGCACGTGCTTATGCAACATAAATTGGAGAGGGGCAAGGAACTGAGACATGAGGTGGCAGAAGTGGGCAAGTAACAAAAGGCCAGGTCTGAGGCAGTTCGAAAGAAGGATTCATACGATAAAGAATTTTGTAAAAAGAGAAGAAACAGATAATTTTATAAGTGAATAAGCTAGAAATATATAGTCAAAATATTTGTAAGAGCAGTCTGAACCAAAAATGAAGAAAATTAAGGGAGAATTCTTTCTTCATCCCCATCTTCCCATCACCCCCCGCAAACCCACTCTAATTTAAAAATAAGAATATATATATATATACACAAAATCAGTAGAAAGTGATGTGTGTGTGTGTGTGTGTTTTGCATTGCATGTGGTTTTGGGGACTTTCCCTTAATTAGGCTAAATTAATGTGAATACACTTTTTGAGAGTCTGTTTAGATTTATAACTGAATATCATGGCATCTGTAGTTAATTCTGTTTTCCTAAATACCCACAAAGTGATGTTAAATAATGGTTTTATTATGGTTTGGAGCTAGAATTTTTTGCTTAATCTCTGCGGAGGGTGAAGAAAGTAGGCAGGACACACTACTGTGTATACCCAGGGAGCATGTTAGTGAATGTTAGTGAGCTCCTGGCTGGGGACTTGCACGTGAGAGATGGATCCTCTTGTGCAGATGTAATGCACGGAGCTCCCAGACCTCGCCTCACTCTTGTCTTTGTGCTACAGACAGCAGGGACCCGGAGGGCTGTGTGTGGCACCACACCAGCCGGACTTCTGCCACATCATTCTGGAAACAACAGCTTTGGCAAAGGCCTCTGGTGAACTTCATGTGGCTAAACCCAATGGAGATTTCTTGGTCCTCATCTTTCTTGAGTTCTGAGGAGCCTTGACAATTACTTCACTCTTTTTGAAAAAGTCTTTTATGGCTTTGGAGACATCATTTTCTCCTGATTCTCCTTCCTTCTCTCTGGCTAATCCTTCTTCATAAGAGTAAAACTATCCCCAGATGTTACATTTTGGAGTTTCTAAACATTTAATCCTAAAATCAATCAACTTCTCTCTCTGTCTCTCTCTCTCTCTCTCTCTCTATATATATATATATATATTTTACTCTTTACTCTGTACCCAGCAAACTCCCTGCTGCCCATGATTACCACCATCTATATGCCAGTGACTCCTAAGTTTGTATCTGTAACCTGACCTTTGGGTTCTAGACCTGTAGCCAGCTGCCCACTGAACATCACTTGGCTGCCTCAGAGGTGCTTCAGGTTAGGTTTGCTCTAAACCAACCTCATGATCTTTCCCTTAAGTATTGTCCTCCTCTACTTTTACCCATTTTTTCAGAAGCCCATCGGTGTTCATCTGAAATGTAGCCAGAAACGTAGGCATCACCCCTGATACATCTATTTCTCCATCCCCCTCTTGATTCAAGGATCCAAATCTATCACTAAGCTCTGAAAATTTTATCTCCTGAATAGCTTTTGGCTATACCTACATCTTTGTATCTCTGTGTTCACCATTGTCCAATTTATTGCTGTCCTTTATTTGGGTTAATGTAATAGTGGCTTAACTGGTTTTCCAGAATCTACTTTGGTTTCTTTTCAGTCTACTTTCTAAAGTGTAGTTACTCATCGTTTCAAAACACAAATTTGGTCATGTTCCCTCAGGCCCTCTAAAATCCTTGGTATCTGTCAGAATAAGTTAGGTAATACTGTCATAACAAACAACCCCAGAAATCTCGTTAGCTTTCAACAACAGCAGTTTATTGCTCATTCACAGCATGTCTGTGGCTTTGGTCCATGGAAATTTCACTTTGGAATTCGAGCTGAGGGAGGAGCCTCTGTATGGGACATTGCTGGTCATGGTAGCAATGACATGACCAAAGAGAAAGTGTGATCCATGTGCTGGCTCTTAAAGCTTCTGCCCAGAAGGGACACACACCACGGCCACCCACATTTCATTGGCCAAAGCAGGTCACAAAGTCTTCTCTGAGTTCAGTAGGGAGGGATGCATGGTCTTCCCACAGGGACGAACACTGGAGGAAGTAAAGCCGGAATATTTGGTGACCAGGAATTTACCACAATTCACCATACTTTTCAGTGACTTCCTATTGTTTTGAGGATGAAACCCAAAACCTTTCCCAGGCCTGCAAGGCTCCTGGTGATGTTCTCTATCCTGAACTCCCCGGCTCTACCTGTCACCTCTCTATCCCTCATTGTCTGTACTCTACCACACTATTCTTTCCTTCTTTGACCACATACCCTCTTTCAGGATCTCTGAACATGCTGATCCCTCTATACTTTTGTCTGTCCTCCTCTCCACCCTTTACTCCACTATTTCTTCACATCTCAGCTCAGCCACCACTTTCTCAGAGAAGCAATCCCTGGATCCCCAGACTAGGTCAGGTTCTGTTGTCATATGCTTGCATGGAATGACATTCTTTCCCTTCAGAGCACTTATCTGAGCTTTTAATTATCAATCCATTAGTGTGACTAGGTGATGAATGTCTGTCTTCTCTGCCTTGACTCTGGGTTCCATGAGAACAAGAACCATGTCTGGTTTTGCTCATCATTATATAGACAGGAGGCAGCACAATGTTTTAAACTTAGTAGATCTTGGGGCGCCTGGGTGGCTCAGTCAGTTAAGTGTCTGCCTTTGGCTCAGGTCATGATCTCAGGGTCCTGGGATCGAGCCCCGCATTGGGCTCCCTGCTCCGCGGGAAGCCTGCTTCTCCCTCTCTCTCTGCCTGCCACTCTGCCTACTAGTGCTCTCTATCTCTCTGTCAAATAAATAAATAAAATCTTTAAAAAAATTAAAAATAAATAAATAAACTTAGTAGATCTTCAGTAAAAGTTAACTGAATGAAGAAGGAGGATATTGAAATGCCTAGAAGAACGATAGGAAGAATTAAGTATACTTGATTTGGAGAAGAGAATACTCATGTGGAACAACTGAAAAGCTATACACGTGTGGAGGGCCTCTGAGGAAAAGTGAGAGTATATTTTAAAAAATTGTTTTTATTTATTTGAAAGAGAGAGAGCACAAGCAGGGGGAGGGCAGAGGGACAAGCAGACGCCCACTGAGCATGGAGCACATCGTGGGGCTTGATCCCAGACCCTGAGATCATGACCTGAGCCAAAGTCAGATGCTTAACTGACTGAGCCACCCAGGTGCCCCAAGTAGATTTATTTTTATTCCTTCAGAGAGCATATCTAGAACCAAAGTTTAAAAGTTATAGGTAATGAAACCAATATCAGTTCACTGTAAGAATGAACTTTCTGATAATATGAACATCAATACTAGAAACGTTATGTTCACTGTATTTGTTCGAAGACTGGATGACCAGGTGTAGAAAACATCAATAGACATTCAAGTAGCAGTGGTATTGGAATAGAGGCATATATTTGATCACTTCAAACTCCAATAGTTCTATTTAATATTTTATTAAAAAAACACAGAGATATGGGATGCCTGGTTGGCTCAGTTGGTTAAGTGTGTGCCTTTGGCTCAGGTCATGAGCTCAGGGTCCTGGGATCGAGCCCCACATTGGGCTCCCTGCTCACAGGGAGACTCCTTCTCCCTATCCTCCCTGCTTGTGCTCACTCGCTCTCTCTCTTTCTCTCTCTCTATCAAATAAATAAAATCTTTAAAAAAAAAGTTAAAAAAAAAACCAGATAGTAAACAAGGAAACAAGAAAACACAAGGTATCAATTATGAGGTGATACCATTGCGTCTCTAGACTGGCACAACCAATAGCCATACTATGGTTCCTGTCTTGGCTTAAGATTTTTAAGACTTGTCATGAAGGATCTTTAGGTAGATCATCCCCAATCTATGCCTTCATCTGTAATTACTTAAATAAATTGATTATATATGTGTCTCTTTTAGGGGACCAAGGAAGTAGGCAAAGTAGTTTTTGAGCATAAATAGCCTTAGAAAACGAAAAACTCCAACATATATATGTAGCATATAAACGCCAATATATATGTATCATATATAGTATACGTGACAAAAACAAAAATGAAAACCTCCCCTTTAGGGGTGCCTGGGTGGCTCAGTCAGTTAAGGGTCCCACTCGGTTTTGGCTCAGGTCATGATCTCAGGGTCCTGGGATTGAGCCCGTGTCAGGCTCCACCCTGAGCATGGAGTCTGCTTTCCGTTCTCCCTCTCCCTCTGCTCTCTCTCTCAAATAAATAAATCTTTTTTTTTTTTTAGATTTTATTTATTTATTTGAGAGAGAGAGAATGAGAGAGAGCACATGAGAGGGGGGAGGGCCAGAGGGAGAAGCAGACTCCCTGCCGAGCAGGGAGCCCGATGCGGGACTCGATCCAGGGACTCCAGGATCATGACCTGAGCCGAAGGCAGTCTTAAATAAATCTTAAACAAAACAAAACACCTCTCCTCTTCTGCACTTTTATCAAAGTAACAGACGCAAGGCTTATTTTGCACGGTAAAATACAATAGTATGGATGAAATCATAATATAACGTTATAATACATTCAATAGATGTAAATCAACTTAGTAAATATAAAAAATTTTCAAGCTGTTAGTTCAGAAAGAGGGTCACACATTGGAATAGTTAAAGAAGTTTTCTCGAAGGAGGAGCACTTAGATGAGTTCCTAAAAAATGGGATAGATTGTTATAGATGGATGGACAGGAAAAAATACAGTGAATATGACCACCTTATATTCTAGATCTTCTGAGACAGTTTTGATTTCAAATATAATGATCGTCCAGGAAGTGTGGTCATAAAGGCTAAAGCAGGTGCCCTGTTTTTGGGATTGTATTATGGTCGGTGCGGACACGAACAAGTGCATAGAAGCAAAAGAGGACTTGGTGAATGGAGGCCTGTGGATCAGTGTTTAAACAGCGCGGAATGAGGGTGGGTGGAGCAGCAAGTACGCGTCATCTCCCATCATCCAATCACCGGCTGTCTCCAGTTCTAATGCCTGACCCCCGTAGTAAACCAATGTGACATCCTGATGTCCCACAGGAAGAAACATTTGCAACTGTTGGAAATGCGATACAATAAGAAACAAGCAATCCAGTCCGTGCAGTCCGCCGCCTAGATTGTGAAACAATAGTCATGGTTCTATTTGTTCTGTTATGGAATAAAAATTGCAAATAATTTCATAAGATAGAAACTCAAGAGAGATCCTGAGCACAAGTTTCCCACAATACGCTACCAGGTCACATTTTGCAACCCTGCTGCCCACCCCCACCCCCTTCCCCAGCCCCATTTTTTAGCCAGTATTTGCCCTCGGGGCACAGGGTGGAGCACTTTGGTGAGATTTTGCACAAACACTGTAGGCTTCTTGTTTTTCTTTGCTATTATAATGGAGAGGCAGTAGAAATAAGGTAGAAAAAGGGAGGATGGGACTCCGAGTGGATAGAACTAAAAGCAAATAGGATTTTTAGGGTTTTGTTTGTTTGTTTGTTTTCCAGGCTACGAATAAAACGCTTATGAACAAAGAAAAAAGTGCTCATAGAATACATAAAATGTAAATAACATTAGTTCATTCAGAGGAAGAATCTCCCTAGGAGAGGAGCACTTCATTGTTTATTAACTTTTCTTGGGTCCTGGGTCCAAGTTTCATTGCAATAGTTAAAAATTGCTGTACTTTTTATGCAGTATGAGTGTTTATGAGCAGCTTTATAAAAATTTGAATATTCAGGCAACATTCATTGTTTTAATGTTGTTTTTCTTCTTTTGTTGATTATTACTTAAGTCTCTTCATTTTTTTTTTTTAAGATTTTATTTATTCATTTGACAGAGAGAGAGACAACGAGAGAGGGAACACAAGCAGGGGGAGTGGGAGAGGGAGAAGCAGGCTTCCCGCTGAGCAGGGAGCCCGATGTGGGGCTCGATCCCAGGACCCTGGGATCATGACCTGAGCCGAAGGCAGACGCCTAACGACTGAGCCACTCAGGCGCCCCAAGTCTCTTCATTTTATAATTTTTACTTAATAGCAGTCTTGTTTCAATTAAGAAAATCCAGTGTCTGGTGGAATCAAAAGTCCAAAGAGATGGGACTGTCGTCCTGACAGAGGGATACCGCTTCCCATTATCCCCATTAGGCTAGGAAATTCCATGCCTTAACTGCAGTTATAAATGTGGAGTTTCCTTCTTGGTTGTGTCTCATTCCACTTAAGGCCTCCCTTTTAGAATTTCCTAGGTTCCTATATTCCTCCTAAGTCTGTAATATTATCACTGCATCCACACCAAATTAAAATAAAGATCTGTACAAGATAAAAGGAGCTTCGTTTCTTGTCTTCTCTCACCGCTGTTCCTTTCAGTTGATTCAGCTGTTGATTGTGGCCTGGAGCAGCTTTGAACACATGGTCATATAATTCATTAGCGTTTAGACAGGGCCTCAATCTCAGCCATTAGCACATTCATTCAAACACATTTCTGAAAAACATTTAAAAACCACCTTGTGGCATTGGTCTGTATTCATAAAAAGAGCAACCTGTAGGGAACTAATAAACATAGCTAATCTCTTCATAGATAAACATGCTTATTAAGTGTATCTAGTTTTGGTTTTGATTTAGTGCCCTCCAAAATTGTCTTCGAATTGGTGAGAAAGTCAATTCTCCAAATGGAAGAGAAATGAGAAGCTTTTGAGTGTAGGTGAATGATTTTACATGCTGGCTCTGAATTGTAGAAGTCTGATTCTCCCAGTGACGTCTCCAATTTGACCATGGAGTCAAATGATATTAAGATGTTACAGAGGGGCACCTGGTGGCTCAGTGTGTTAAGCATCTGCCTTTGGCTCAGTTCAGGATCTCAGGGTCCTGGGATGGAGCCCTGAGCTGGGCTCAGCAGGGAGTTTGCTTCTCACTCTGCCCTACCCCCCTGCCTGTGTGTGCGCTCTCTCTCTCTCTCTCTCTCTCAAATAAATAAATAAATAAATAAATAAATAAATAAAATCTTTTAAAAAAAGATGTTATAGCAATGTTGCTAGTGAAAATGGTGAACGAAGTAAATCTAACTGGTGAAGACAATATATTAATGTAAATTCGCATAGCCAAGTTTGGCCTAAACAAGGAATGTTCATTATTCCTTTTTAGCTGCATGAAAGACAGCAATCTGGGTAATACATTTTGATGGATTATTAACTTTCTTCACAACCTTTTTTTTAATTAAAGATTTTATTTGTTATTTTAGAGAGTGAGAGAGACAGCAGGGGGAGGAGGAGAGGAGAGAATCTCAAGCAGATGCTGCGCTGAGCTCAGAGTCTGATGGGGCTCGATCTCATGACCCTGAGATCATGACCTGAATGGAAAACAAGTGTCAGTCACTCAACCGACTGAGCCACTCATGCACCCCTTCGTAAGTTTTTCTTAAGCACGGTTAATGGAGTTACTGATTCTAAGACATTTATTGAGGGTCTATCCTGTGCCGGACAACATGTACTGAGTTAGTCTTCTCATTTTATAACACCTCCTCATCCTCCTTTTTCCTCTTTCTCTAAAACCTCTGGAAGTTTCCTACTTGGATCTGACTTGAAGTTTTCCTTCATCATCTGGATGTGAAATTTTCCCAGAAAATCTATTCCCCCCCCTCCCCCCGGCTTTTTCCCTCTTGGAAAGGAACATCCTTCAGCAGGAGAACTGGAAAATATCCACCAATTTTAAATGTAAAAATAATTATGCAAATATATAACTATGTTGTTTCCTTAGTTGTTATGAAATAATGTATTTGGTTGTTGATTTCTTTTGTCTGTGTCCTTGCTTTTTGGGAATTTCTGTCCACTTTGAGAACCATCTTTCTTGCATTCCTTACTGGAAGGACTAACAAAGACAAAACAGCTTAGCTAAGAGCAAAATAATTTCAGCAACTATGAAAATCTGCAGGAGAGCATGGCCAACAGAAAGCCTTCATTCTCTGTGTTTACATTGGTACTGATCTTAATGGCACGCTGTTAACTCAACATAAAGCTGTGCTTTTTAAAACAATTCAAGTTCAAGGGCATCCAATCGTGTTCCAGCCCTATAAAGTATTTGCAATAACAATCTAAACTGGCATATATGTTAAAGCTCACCCTGGGCAGCTTAAATTTACACGATTAACCTGGGACTTGCTCATCATAGCACCAGGAAGCACAACCTCATGATCAAGTGCAATTCACATCTCACAATTCTAGGAATCGATGTACATGGATACACCGTTATATTATTATTAAATCCAATTGCTTTGCAATTAACCCAATATGACACCTATACAAATGATTCAAATAAAGAGCCTCATGTTTCACAGAAGACAATCAATAAAGTGAAATCACAGCTCCTGACAATGTTAGCAATTTGGCTTGTTACGAGAGTACTACATTTTCCTCGGGTCGAGGCTGCCGTTCTCCCTACTGAATCACAGCTACCATAACTTTCAACTATTGGCAATGCCCCTGCCTCACTAAAGCATAACATTCAAACATGTTTGGCCATTCCTAGCCTATCTTAGCCGAGTCATGAAAAGTTACAGTCAATCTGGGATGTACTAACTCATCAATTTTCCTTCTTTGCTCCCCAGATGGAATTAGGACTTCTTTCCCCAGGAAAGCCTCCTTAATGACAAAAAAGAAAATAGTTGTATTTGTTCTTAGACAAAACTCATTCTTATTCTTCCCCTTTCACAAAATGTTTTACAATTAGATGTCTGAAAGCAAAACCAAATTATAACAGCACCTCTCTGTTATTATTACTGTTGTTACTATTATTCTGTAGCTTCATTATCTCCATTTTAATGAAGTAAAAGCACTTCACAGTTATAAGCCGGATCAAAACCAACCTTTTGTAAAAATATCACAACCCTCTTATTATATCACCCTCTTTAGGCAGAGTTGGCAGGCGAGTTTGTCAGCCAGACAACTTGGTGTAGAGAATCAATTTCTTGAGAGCGGGGACGGTGAACTTCCTTTGGAGACCAACAGGGTCGTGTGTAGACATTCTGCAGGTGTTTATTGACAGCCTACCTGAGTACGGCCTTGTTAAGGCCTCATAACACTTTCATTTTAAGTGGACTAAACTTGACCTTATGGAGCATTCAGGACAGACACTGACCAAAAATGTATCTTTTCCATGTCTCTCCTCTATCTACTCCTTTCCAAAGCCCAGTCAAGTCAGGGTATGTTTCCATGAGGCCATTTTTTTTCTGTTGAAATGGAGGGACTAGAACATTACATATGCAAAATGTCTCTTTTTCCTAACACACGGTGTGAATGATTGAAAACAATGACTTAATTTAATACTCTAAGCAGAGTCTGTTCTCCATGAATCATACTGTATACATAACGGTGATGAAAATGTTCAGTTTGAAATTTCTCCCTGGCCAGGGAGGAAACCATGGGGGTGAATCATGCTTTCAGTGATGACTGTCCTAAGGAAGCTAAATTGAGAAGCCACAGGTTAAAAAAGGAGCGAGGAGTGAATCCTTAACAGGAATGCAATGGTCATACACTCCCAGAAGGCAACAGACGCCCCCTTCTGCTGCTTACACCCGGGCAAAAGCCTGCAGAAGAGTTCCCGGACGTTCACCCACAGGAGAGAGACTCTGAACGGAGAGGAATCCAAACACAATATGTGAAGTTACCCAGGGCTTGGGAAAAGAAACAAGACTTCTCGTTGAGGGAAAGGAGATAAATGGCTGCCTGAAAAGAGGAACACAACGGCCTGCACTCATTCATGTGAAAGAAATTCATTTAAGAGCAATTGGATTAGAGATGGAGATTTACATGGATGGCATTAAAGAAGAGGAGCGTGTAAGAGACAGTAAAGATGTACATCAGTCATTGGCTACAGAACTGTAAACAGCAGTGGGGACTTTGGATACAATGTTAAGTGGAAAAAGGGGCCACTACATTATAATTAAACGATGATTGCAATTATGTAAAAATATGTGTGCTATGGACAAAGACTGAACAGGGATACGGGGAAATTAACATAGTTATTGTGTTAATGTTAATGTAGTGATGCTATTTGTTTTGCATTGTTTAAATCATGTCGGTGTGAAAGTGAGGGCCGGCTGGGGTGGGACTATATAGAGTCAGTCTGATAGTCAGCTGGCTTCACAGGAATCAGGAAGCCCCGTGCTTAAGTTTTACCCACCACGCTAGCTGTGAACTTAACCTCTCTGAGCCTCCTTGGTGTTCTTACGGAGAAAGTGGGAATAATAACACTTGTCCTGCACTAACAGGGGGGTGAAAACACTATGTCAATTGAAAGGATGGTGGGAGACTGTGTGAGGAATTAAGATCAGAGGGCTTTATAGACCAGAGATTTACAAAGTCCCAAACTCCGGGCACCTGGTTAGTTCAATCAGTAGAGCATGTGACTCTTGGTCTCAGGGTCGTGAGTTCAAGCCCTGCATTGGGCTTGGATCCTACTTAAAAAAAAAAAAAAAGGAAAGAAAAGTCCAGAACTCAGAAAGTTCTTCTGACTCTCTTTTCTCGGCATTCCCCCAGGGGGCTGGACAGTCTATGTCATCTCATCTAACTGTACGATGTACACATTACTAATATTTATTGTCTTACTAACCAGATTTCCTAATGCCATTTTAGAATAGTTCATCTTTTTCTTCCATTTGAAAGGATTTGAAATGCTCCCTTTATCATATGCCTGAGTTTATTTCTGAACTCTACTGTCAAACTGCTTGCCATTCTGTTTTAATCATTGTAGCTTTACAGTTTTTTTCATCTGACCGTGCAACTTTTTTTATAGGTTGGTTTGTTTTTCAGATAGGATCTTGAGTAGAGTGGGAGCTCTTAAGGAGAAACCCGAGCTTGGGCCCAAGGAAGTAAGGAACCAGACCAGGGGTACATGGCAATGTGGCAAAGTCTGAGAGGAGAGTCTTTGGAATCAGAGAAAGCTTAATTCAAATCTTGATTTATTACTTGCCATCTGGGTGACCCAGCATACATTACTTCATCTCTCTAACCTCTTACCTCATCTGTAAATTGAGGATAATACCTACCTCAAAGTGCTGCGGTGTGGATTAAGTTACAAAATGAGCATGAATTTCCCTCGCACAGTGCCCGGCTCATGGCTGTCGCCCTCCTTCCCTGCCTTTGTGTGCCCTCCTCGTGGTGAGGACGTGGCTTCCCTTTCTTCGGTTTTCGGGAATCTGCAAGAGAAGGGACGAAGAGCTAAGAATTGTCGCCAAGTTCTACACAGCATTCTGAAGTCTGGTTTCATGGGAATGGCATTTAAATTGTACATATGCATTCACTGCTCCCTGAATATGGCAAAGCAGGAAATACTGTGCGTGTCATATAATCCGTAAAATGCACTGTCACTATGCAGCCAGGAACTGTGGGATATCAAACAGGTAGGAATGCCAGGCAGCATGTTCCTGTCAGACCTGGAGGGGACAGAGCTCAGGAGAGGGGGGAAATTACCGAGGATGAAGGGAGCAGGGCAGGGAACAGGTGAGAAATAATGTGGCCTCTCTTTTCTCGTCTGCTCTGACAAGCTTGGATTTTAAGTGATTTGGGGGCAAAGGTCACCTCTATTGCCTCCCTTTTTATAGTTTCTAAAAGATTATTGAATAATATTAGCAATATTTGGTGATTAGAGTGAAGAAATGTCACACAGGGTCTCAGAGAAACCCTCCGTCTCTGAGAGTGGCCAGGACGACTTTTGCTGGAAGCCTCTGTCTTCTCTCGCTGGGAGACGATGGATGGAGTCTGATCATAATTAATTTTAATAGAGACCTATCACCTCGTGATAGAATCTTGGCTATTCAAATGAAGTAGAACCAGCTAGCCAGCCTGGATAAAAATGATCTCACCAGTTCTCCCTCACCACTGGCTTTAGAACACATCAAGTCCAGTTACAAAATATTTGTTTATTGAGTGATTTGGGGCCTAGCACTATAAGATGGTGTATGACGTTCACTATCTGAATTGGACAGACAAGAAATGTGATAAAATAAGTACCATCTGTTGATTCCCTGACTTGTGCTATGCCCTCCATTACATGCTTTGTATACATTATCTCTAATTCATGAATTCTTTCCACACATGTTTCTTGAGCGCCTATTATGTGCCGGGCCTTCTAGGTGCTGGGAACACCACAGGCCACAAGGAAGAGGAAGTCCCTGCCTTTGGAGAACTACATTCTGGTGGGTATAAGCCCAGTGAATATATAACATTATTTTAGATAATGGTAAAGGCTATGGAGAACAGCAGCTCAGGGTAAAGGGATAGAGCAGGATTCTGGAGTATGTAGGGAACATCTTATTTATTTATTTTTTAAGTAATCTCTACACCAAACGTGGGCCTCGAACTTTCAACCCCAAGATCAAGAGTCACATGCTCTACCAACTGAGCCAGCCAGACGCCCCTGCAGGGGACATTATAGGACGGGCCTCTCTAGAGGGATGGAGTGAGGTGTGCACAGCGGTGGGGGGGGGAGGGGGGGAGGAGCATCCCAGGCAGGGGGACTAGCAAGTGTGAGGTGAGTGTGGTATACTCAGGGCCCTGCGTGGCTGGGATGGGGTGAGGGAAGAGGAGGAGGGGCAGAAGAAGCAGGAGACAGGTAAATGACTAAGCCAGGTTAGGCCTGGAGGGAAATGAAAAGCTTTTTGCGTTTCCTTCTGAGGACAATGGGAAGCTCTCAGGAAACTGTGAGCAGGGGAGAGTTACCTGGACACTGACTCTGATACATAGATCGGCGCACCGGAGGTCGTCTCTCCCGGCTGTAAGAATGTGCGAGAAGCAGGACTGGGTAGAGGTGGAGTGTGTGTTGACTCACAGAGATCTCACCTGACCGCCTGGAGGCCCTAAGGTTGGGATGACCCTTTAGGATTTTCCCAAATTGAGGCAAAGCTCAACGGACCTTGAAGCTGGCCTCAGCCAGCTGATGTCTCCCGAGAGGGCTTGCAAACCCGGGCGAGGCAAGCCCTTTGGGGGCCAATGCCTGAGAGGTTGGCAGCTGGGCCGCCAGCAGCCAGCAGCCAACGGCTGGGGCAATGACACCACCCTCCTGAAGACGGTGTCGGGGCGGCGCACCCCAGCATCCACCACAGGTTCCTTTATGTTTTCATCCTCTCAACACTCCTCCAGGTTAAGCATTCTTATATCCTTTCTGGGACTCAGAGAGCAACCTGTTCAAGGTCACATACCTAGCAGATGCTGGATTTGAACTTCGGTCTCTCTGAGACCAAAGACCATGTACTTAAAAAAAAAAAAATTGTGGTAAAATATCCATACCATAAAATGTATCATTTTAACTGTTTTTTTTAAAGTTTTATTTATTTAAATAATCTCTACACCCAACATGGGGCTCGAATTCATGATCCTGAGATCAAGAGTCACATGCTCTTCTGACTGAGCCAGCCAGGTGCACCTCATTTTGCCTATTTTTTTTTTTAAGATTTTATTTGTTTGTCAGAGAGAGAGAGAGAGAGAGAGAGAGCATGTACAAGCAAGGGGAGTGACAGCAGAGGGAGAGGGAGGAGGCTCCCCGCTGAGCAAGGACCCTGGGATCATGACCTGAGCTGAAGGCAGACGCTTACCTGACTGAGCCACCCAGGCGTCCCACATTTTACCTATTTTTAAGTGTACAGTTCAGCAACATTAAGTACATCCACACTGTTGTGCAACCACCACCGCCATCCATCTCTAGAACTTTTTTCATCCTGCAAAACTGAAACTCTGTACCCATTAAACAATAACATTATAATAATATTAATATTAAACATAATACTATTAAAAAATAACTCCCCATTGCCCTCTCCCTCCAGGCCCTGGAAACCATCCTTCTACTTTCAGTCTCTATGAATTTGACAGCCCTAGGTACCTTATATAAGTGGAATCATACAATATTGTCTTTTCATGCCTGACTTATTTCACTTAGCATAATGTCTTCAAGGTTCATCCACATTGTAGCAGGTGTCAGAGTTTCCTTCTTTTTAAAGGCTGTATAATACTCCATTTTGTGTATATACCATTTTTTTTTAAAGATTTATTTATTTATTTTAAAGAGAGAGAGAGTGCATGGGGAGGAGGGGCATAGGGGGAGGAAGACAGATAAGCAGACGTCACCCCGAGCAGCCCGACAAGGGCCTCGAAGATCCCATAACACTGAGATCATGAGCTGAGCTGAAATCAAGAGTAAGACGCTTAACCAACTGAGCCACCCAGGCCCCTCAATGTGCCATGTTTTGTTTACTCTTCTATTGATGGGCAAATGGATTGCTTCCCCCTTTTGGCTATTGTGAATGATGCTATGAACATTGGTGCACAAATATCTGTTTGAATCCCTGCTTTCAATTCTTTCGGGTATATCCCCAGAAGTGGAATTGTTGGGTCATACAGTAATTCTATTTTTAATTTTTCAAGGAACTGCCATACCATTTTCCACAGCAACTGCCCCACTTTATATCCCCACCAGCACTGCACCAAGGTTCCGCATCTTCACCAACACTTTTTTTCTTTCCTCCTCCTCCCCTTCCTCCTCCTCTTCTTTTTCTCATAATAGCCGTCCTGTGGGTGTGATGTGGTATCTCATTGTGGTTTAAGACCTTGCACTTTTCATGCCACCATGTGTCCCTCAGAAAGGAATCAAAGATTGCCAGCATGCATCCAGTCCCACCGTTCCATTTGTGGGCAGAAATGATGACAATACCAGGTCAAGATCTAAATTCAGTTAATCCCCTTGGATTGATGATGAGCTGTAGAAGACCATATTCTGTATATTCCCTAAAACGCTCAGACACCTAAAGGACAATACAAAATTTGGCACTGTATACTGATTCGATCTTTAAAGGTTTTGCTTAAGGACCCTAAAATAGTTTAGAAAACTATGCTCTTCTTTGCACATTTAAAAATTGATATTTATAATGTTATTATAAATTTAAATAGTTGCAAAGACTATAATTCCTAGCATATTATAAATGTTGACATTTTTTAAAATGAAACAGTTACATCACTGTTTTAAACGTATCCAAACGGAATCCAGATCTTACAACAGCTTGTTAATTGCCATCATCCTTTTGAGAAATATACAAATAGGGGTACCTGGCTGGCTCAGTCACAAGAGCTTGCCACTCTTGATGTCAGGATTGTGAGTTTGAGCCCCACGTTGGGAATAGGGATTACTTAAAAACAAAATCTTAAAAAAAAAAAAAAAGAAAAGAAAGAAATACACAAGCTCATCTTTAGCAAGCAAAATTGGCATATTGCTGTTTTTCTCTTTGAAATTCTATTTACATTTACTTCCCCCTCAGAATTTTATGCTAATGTAATATACTTATGATTGAACATCTTTTACTGAGGATTTCTCATATTTTATCTATCAAACATATGTATATTAAAATTTATACACTGTAAAATTCCTGTGACCATAGGCTATAAGTGTTTTCTGGATTGAGCTATCATTACAATTACTAGTATTACACAGTTGATCAAAACAACCTAAATGAATAGAAAATTTTGATAAATACTAACATTGAAAATAAAGTTTTATTAGAAATTTGCATTTCTTAATAAGATAGATGATGCTGTCCTTTTTTCAAACATTGTATGTATTATGGATAAATATTACTTTATTGCTAGAATGACAGTGGTTAGCATCCCTTCTATCTCTAGTTTTCATTTTTTAGAGATGAAAAATCCTTGTTCTTACAAATAAGGAGATGGGACTGGGAAGAATTTTGTTATTAAGATGTCCTTAAATTTGTGGAATGCTTTCTGATTTATTTGTCCTGAATCACGTAGTAATCCATTACCAAATGCTAGTTTCAATGATCTGTCAGCTGACAATTTAACTATCTTCTCCTTCCATTTTGTTGAAAACAAGATATTGGAAACCACCTGACTTGCAAAGGATTTGTTATGCCCAGTCTGTTATGGGTCGAGCTGTGTCCCTCCCAAATTTATATGTTGAAGTCCTAACCCCTAATACCTCCAAATGTGATCTTATTTGAAAGCGACGTTGCAGATATAATTAGTTAAGAGGAGGTCATTAGGGTGGGCCCTAATCCACTATGACTGGTGTCTTTATAAAAAGGGAAAATTTCGACAGAGAGGCAGACATGAACAGAGAGAAGAGGATGTGGAGATACAGGGAGGAGATGGCCATGCCCAAGCCAAGGAGCCTGGAACAGAGCCTTTCCCCCCAGCCCTGAGAAGGAATCAACCCTGTCCACACTTTGGTCTTGGAGTTCTAGTCCCCAGAACTGTGAGGCCACACCTTTCTTTTTTGTAGCCATTTGTTCATGGCACTTTGTTCCTGCAGTCCTAGCAAATGAATACATGGTTCTTACAGCCATTCACTTCCCTAACACCTACACCAATATGTTCCATTTTTCCTTTACTTGGTGCCCAGGAGGGTTTCTTAAAGCCCCAGCAAAGCACTCCAGTAGGATTGGGAATAAGAGAGAGGGACACCTTTCTGGCACCTGGGTGGCTCAGTTGGCTGAACGTCCAACTCTTGATTTCAGCTCAGGTCATGATCTCAGGGTCATGAGATGGAGCCTGGTGGGGAGTCTGCTTGAGATTCTCTCTCTCCCTCCCTCTGCCCCTCCCCTCACTTGCGCACACTCTCTCTCTTTCTCAAATAAATAAAATCCTAAAAAAAAGGAGAGAGAGAAAAGGACACCTTTCTTTTGTAAACTGAGGGAAGGCATTGTGAAAGGAAGTCAGGGGTGTTTGATAAAAGGCAGATATTGAATTTGAAGATCTCCACGTTGCCTTCCTTCCAAATATCCTTGACAGCATGCCTCTTTGGAAAGCCTCAGTCGCCCCTAGAGGAATAGGTATATCTGCTTTGAAGATGACTATCCTGAAGGGTAGAAAACCTACTGTAATTCAGGGAAGTGGAAAAACTTTTGGCAGCTGGAGGTGTTATGACATTTTCATGGAGGATATGACATCTGTTGGCCTTGTGTGTAGAATTTTGGTTTGTGGCAAGGGGAAGGAAAGGCCTTCCAGCCAGGGGTGGAAGCAACGTGGAAATGGACATCTGACTAAGAGGTGGTAGACTGCGACCAGCCGGCCCACGGAGGACCTGCATCATGGGCCCAGGAGCTTGTACATAGGCACCAGAGATTCTTCCATGAGCAAGTGACATGAAAGTGATGCTTAGGAAGATTAGCCGGGCATCACTTTGGAAGATGGGAGGGCAGGTGCAGAGGTAGGAGGTAGGAAGCAATCCAAGGATGTGATCATTAATGCTCAGTGTAGTGGCGTTGGAAATGGAGAGACAGCTTCTTGTTGGCTGGGTTGGAAGTAGAAATTGCATGTTTATATTATGGTTAACTCACGGTTAAGACTGCTTGACGATCTCTATTTCAGATGGGCTGCCAAGTTCCAGAACTAACTTTCTGCCTTTCTTCCACTTCCGCCACTGCCTTCTGTATTGGTGGAATAGTCTTGAAAGACTCTAGCTTTTCAGCTAGTCAGGTGGAGGTACAATACGAGCAGCATCTCTCTACTGCTTGGCTGATCCTTTCATTGTAAGGACGAAATGAATACATGTATGGGAAACACTTGGTTAACTGTAAAGTACCCTGCAAATGTAAAGATATGATTATTCATTACTCATTACCCTTATTGTTGCCAGCTACTCTTTCTTAGAGGTAGTGAAGAGGTTTTCTGAGTGCCTCATTTAGCATTAGCCTAACTGAAATGCAGGTAATAGAGGCTCCCTTGTGTGTCACCCGAGAATTTTGTTGGGCTTACCTCCCTTTTCAAATTGGGAAGGTGCTGTGATACCCCCTGCTGAGCCCCACTGGGGAGAAGAGCCACTCTTCACACTCCTTCTGGATTCTTTGAGGTGTCTGGCCTCATGCCCAAACATCCTCAGAGGACTGTTCATTTTCTGTCAGAATCGCGAGGCTTCCTGATTATGTAGCAACAGAAACAAAGCCTTTCTATGCGCTGAAAACCAGATTTTTGTGTGGCCACATGATCTCTTCACTCCTCAGTCTAAGCCGTGAAGCACACAGAGCATTAGAACAACCCAGACACACAACTCTTTCTGTCTCTTATGTTACAGACCACTGTGTTTTTAAGGCTCTGAGATGATAAGAAACTGGTTTTATACTAGAAGAAATGGGTGGTCACTGTCCTTATAACCACCTCTCTAAATCACACTCACATGGATGACTCCATCTGTGACCCTGAGGATCATTGGAATCTTTCCGTGTTCTAAACCACCCTGAGCCCCCGCTGTGGCTGTCATGGTGGAGACATGACCTACTGGCCAAGTGACTGTTGACTCTACTAGTCATTTGGCATCTCTTCAAGGATGAAAAGATTATCAGTAATATTTGAGTGACTTTTCTTACCTGCATTGACTCCATCATCTCTTATCCATGTGCAACTAAGTATCTTTATATGGCTGCAGGAAAAGCATCTTCAATGCTAGAAAGACAATGTGCAAGCATCAGCTGATCCCCTTGGTATTGATGCCTGCTCCCATTTAACAGATGGGGAAAATAAGCCCTTATGGTGAGAGTATCATAGTCCCTATTGTTTCACGTGTACCTACCAGACGCAAGGTCGAGCACTTAGACATTAATTTGTTTTCTCCGCCAACCTATGGAATGGGAATATTAACATCTACATTTTACAGGGAAAGCAATGGAAACTTGGTTAAGTGACTTTGCCAAGGTCACAAAACAAGGAAGTGGCCGTGTCAGTCCGCATGAATTACATTAGGCTTTGTGACAAACAGGCCCCCAGATCTCAGTGGCTTACAACAACAAAGGTTTACTCCTCGTGCTGCATGTCTGCGGAGAGGCACGGGTCTCTGCTTCTCCTCGGTCTGGGATTTGGGCAGACAGAGCAGCCCCTGCTTGGAAATTGCTGGTTGTCACGGCAGATGGGTAAAGGGAACATGGCAAAATGCTTGCTGGTAACACATGCCCCTTCTGTTCATTTTGTTGGCTAGCACCTGTCACATGACCAGCCCTAACTTCAAGTAGGTGAGGCCTTATAGTCTTCCCATCTGAGAGTGAGAGAGGGAATATTTATGGGCAGCTCTAATGGCTACCCCAGCAGCAGAGGGAGGGTCTGATAAGAAAGGTGTGTTCTAAAGCCTCTTCTCTTTCTCCTCCAGAGAGCTTCCAATTACAGACCACCCCTCGGTGGGCCAGGGGCATTGCTCAGTGCTAAGCATTTTATTGCTTTTACATCCAGGGGTCACAACAACGCTGTTAGGTAGATACTATTACTATCGTCATTTCATGGATGAAGTTATCACACCCAGACAGATCTTGAAGTAGCTTGAGCCAGAGAGCACAGAGAATTAAAAAAATGGCATCTTGGGCAGCTCTCAGGTCAGCCTGACTCCAGAGACTGTCTTCTCTCCACTTGCCACGGATTTCCAATGCCACAGACGTCACTTCAGTCTCCTAAGAAAGATCCACGTACATTTTTAAAAAGATTAAAACTTGATTCAATCATGTGTTTATTTTTGAATTAAAAGGTAATAACTGCTCATTGTTAAAATTCAGATAGTGCAGGTTTGAAGGAGAAAGTGGAAAACGATTAATAATCAAAACATTTAGAGAGAGCCATTGCTAACATTTTATTTTTATTTTTAAATTTTTATTTGTTTTTTTAGAAGATTTTATTTATTTATTTATTTGAGAGAGAGAGAGAGCACATGTTGTGCAAGCAGGGGGAGGGGCAGAGGGAGAAGGAGAAGGATAAGCAGACTCCACGCTGAGTGCAGAGCCTGATGCGGGCTCGATCTCACCACCCTGAGATCATGACCTGAGCTGAATTCAAGATTCCCACACTTGACCAACTGAGCCACCCAGGTGCCCCCACTGCTAACATTTTAGATAGGTCCTTCCAGATATTCTGACTTGTAGCTTGCTTCTTCACATAATAATATATTGTGAATATCTCTCTAATAAATATACTTCATTTTTAATGGCTGCATAATATTCTATTGACTGTGCCACAATTTAGTTAGAATTCCTTAATGGCCAATGTTTGTCTTTTTTTCAGTGTATCACTGTTCTCTTGTTTTGAGTTCCATTTCTTTCTTAATAGTGATGTCTACTAGCTTTTTAAATTTTTTTTTTTTTAAGATTTTATTTATTTATTTGAGAGAGAGAGTGAGAGACAGAGAGCATGAGAGGGAGGAGGGTCAGAGGGAGAAGCAGACTCCCCGCCGAGCAGGGAGCCCGATGCGGGACTCGATCCTGGGACTCCAGGATCATGACCTGAGCCGAAGGCAGTCTCTTAACCAACTGAGCCACCCAGGTGCCCGCTTTTTAAAATTTTTAACCAATTCACGCCTTCACCAAAAAGAAACAGTGTGATGGTCCATTGTTACCTCTCTTCTCTCCCTCTTCTATACAGAACCCCCTCAAATGCTATCAAGATGGTTTTGTTCCCAGAGTCTTTTATTTTCTATTTTTTTAAAAAGATTTTATTTATTTATTTGAGAGAAAGAGAGAGAGAGCATGAGCATGGGAGAGGGCAGAGAGAGAGAGAGAGAGGAAGAAGCAGACTCCTGGCTGAGCAGGGAGCCCGATGTGGGGCTGGATTCCAGGACCGGGAGATCATGGACTGAGCAAAGGCAGAGGCTTAACCGACTGAGCCACCCAGGTGCCCCTGTTCCCAGAGCCTTAAGCAAGGGATTTTTCCTGGCATTTCTTTTTGGTTTTATATGATTTTTCCGAAATTCCCCTATAAAATGCTCTCCTTATTTTTTTTCGACTTTTTTCTTTCTTTTCCTCTTTTTAAAAAATGCATCTATACCCTATATTTTATGTTTGCATGTCCGTATTCTAGAATCGTTAAACAGGATGTTTTGTGCTTTTCCTGGCTGTTGCCACCATGGCAAGGCATTCACCGCCTTCCAGCTCCCACCTCCTCGCTTAACCCCTGCTCACATGCACATTTTCGCCCACGGCACATATCCTGCTTCACTCACATTGCCTCCATCTGGAGTGGCCTTTACTGTCCTCCACGGTTGGTCTTCAGAGTCTAGCTCAGATGTCCGCTCTTTCAGGAAGCCTTCTCTGACCCCCTTCCTTAGCCAGAATTAAATCTTCTTTCCTCTGGGCTCCTTATCTCCAGTACGCACTTACTCAGACGAACATTTACTCAAGCACTTGGGGTGTGCTGTGAAGTGTTGGGGGCAGATACAAAGACCCAGCCTCGGCATCCACTCTCTAGGAATCTTCGGCCTCTGGGGAGACAGGTAAGTGCACGCACACATACTTTCAGTCCAGTGCGGTAAACGCTGAAATGCAGGTACGTGCGATGCGCCCCCGTCTAACGCGGTCCGGCCAACAGTGCTTGACTTGATTCGAGGCATGTTTTCCTTAAGAAAATTAGTCAAGATCCTGAGGTATGGGTTCCATTCTTAAATTCGCCTTTCGGTCCCGGCCAAATGTGCCGCAGTACTGCGTTGATGGCAAGCACCCACCGCGCTTCATTATCTTAATGAACAAATGTCTCAGGTGTGCTCAGGGGAAGGGACCAGGCACAGGTCCAACCCCATTACCCCTATTTCCCAGAATCGGTCTACTTCGCACATTTTTCTTTCTCCCCTGAAATGGATGCACATTTCCCTCCAGATTTAGAATAGAAGTAATGGCTGTTTCACGAATGCCTGGAAAATATGACTTTTCCAGAAATGGTTTAGGTCGGTTATAGATCTTCGGGCTGCTGGCAACTGTAGACGGGCTGTGCCCCGCCTGGACGCAGTTCCTCCCAGGCCCGATGGGGACCTCGCACCGGCCTCGCGGGCCGCACACCTGGGCCCCAGACAGGTGCGGGGTCCCGGAGACGGCCGGCTCTGCGCGGCGCGCGCCCTCGAGGCCGCCGGGGCTTCTCCCGCTCCGCTCGCGGCCGCCGCGCCGCCCCGACCCCGTCCGCGCCGGCTCCGGCCCGGGTTTTGCGGCCCGCCCGCCGCCGCGCTCGCCGAGCCGGGAGCTGGCGCCGCCGAGGCCGCCGCGGCCGGGGCGTGGGGGGCAGCGCCGCGCACGCGCGCCCGCGAGGGCGACGGGTCCCTGCGCCCCGGCTCCGCGCTGCCGGAACCCTCGCGCCGCCGCCCCGCCCGCAGCCGCCCGGAGCCGCCCGGGGCCCGGACCCCGCGCGGCCCTGCGGGGACTACTTTCCCCGCCCGCGTCCTCTCCCCGCGGCAGGGAGGAACATTCCGGACCCTCCCCGCCCGGCCAGCGCCCGTTCCCGCTCCTCCCCCGCCGCGTGTTTTCCGCCCCAGTAAAGATCGTGCCGCACAAATAAGCCCGGAATGCCCTTCGCCGGGCGGGCGGGAGGGCATCGGGCGCAGAGTCCGAGCGGGCCGTTTTCAGGGCGCGTCTCCGGAGCCGCTAAAAGTCTTGTTTCCTCCCCAAAGTGGAAGGTGTGGGGGGCGGGGGCGGGCTAGGGGCCGCTTCCAACTGCTACACACGCTCGAATAGTTGTCGGTAAAATCAAACTGACGTCAGCCCCGGGGAAAAAGATAGGTCTCTTTTGTTCTCCTGTTCTTCCCCCACCTCCCCCTTGCGATCAAAGGCGAAAAACATTTTTTGGAGGTGGGGGGGAAAGACAAAAAGGAAAAAAAATTGCAGTGCAAAGAGATAGCTTCCATTAGAGCTCCTGCCCGGGCGATGGGAATGTTTAATGAACGCATCAAGCCTTTTGATCACCCTCGCTCGGTTGGGTTCAGTAGTGCCGGAAGGTTAGTTGCATATCCTGTGGCTGATCTGAAATTCGATCAGCAGAGGGGGCAAAGAAAGGAAAAGCATTTTAATGGGAATCAATAGAGGATCGTAGGTCCTGGAAGGAAATACGTGTTGATTAAAAATGCCACAAGATTAAAAAATGTTCACGACTGGTTTAAAAAAAGAGAGAGAGAGAAGGAGTGGGGGAGGAGGGGGAAAAAGCCCTTAGCAATCTATTTTCTGTGTGTCCTGCTGCCAGAGAGGCAGTCAGCCGACCAGCAGTTTGTGTAATGCTTCGAGCTACAGCGGGCGAATTTAAAGCTGTATGCTCAGAACTACATAATAAATACTTACTGAAAATGTATTTCTGTTTCTAAGCGGGGTTCACTCATGCATTATACAAAACACCTAGGGCTGCAGTAGCGAGACACAAGGGGGCGAATAAGGTGTACTGTGACTCAAGTTCTTAAAACTTAACTCTCAGGCTTTTAACAGTTGAGAGCAAGAACATATACGCTTCCCTTTCTCTCTCTCTCTCTCTCTTTTTTTTTGGTCAAAAACTAAAGTCATAGCTTTGAATCAAAAGATACCACAGACTTGACTTGTCTGAAACTTTTAAAAAAGTTGTAATGTATTTAAAAAATCTGATATCTGTGTGTGAGGGGGAGGGTAGGGTGCGGAGTTAACAGTGGTAGATAGCATATTGATTGGGTTACAGAGTGGAAAATTATTGTCTTGTACGTAGAGAAAGTGATCAACAATGGGATAAAAACGGTTGAGGGTTATCTGGCTATATACCTACTACAGTGGGAAGGGGGGGGGAAGCCTTTTAAACCCACTCTTTAATACAAAAACACAAGTATACACCCTGTCTGCATGGCCTCTTGGAGAGGAATCAATAGCATTTAAATGTTTACACAACAAACAAGCTTCCTTCCTTGTTGTGAGCGAATTCAGCTAGCAATGGTGATTCTTCTGCTGGCTCCTGCCTTCTAGTCCTTGCCCATTACCCTGTTTTCCTTACTCTCTCCCTTTGCTTTCAGTCTCTCTGAAGAACACAACAAGGAGCAAGGAGGTTTTTCAGGGCAATTTCCCTCAGATATTCCCCAAATTTAACTTTAGTAGTTTGGATAGAGCAGGATCTGTCAAAATCGAGATTTCCTCAACATTTTCTGGCTCCACTAGATTATAAAAAGCTTTTTTAAGGTTTCATTTATTTAAGTAATCTCTAAGTCCCTCCTCCCCATGTGGGGCTTGAACTCACAACCCTGAGATTAAGAGTTGCTCGCTTTTCTGATTGAGCC